GAGAACCTCCAGGTGAGACACATGCCCACCCCCTGCTCCCTTCCAGTCATAGCAGAGTGTGTGTGTGTGTGTGTGTGTGTGTGTGTGTGTGTGTGGCAGGGCTGGTCACTGTTGGGGTGGCCAGTCTGCCCACATCCCTGTGGCTACCCGCTGCCCACGGCCAGCTCTCTCTGAGCATCCCTGGCCCTCACTCCCACCCCAACCTCTCCTGCAGCCAAATGGCGTGGGCTGCCGCCCCGGAGGAGCGGGGCTGGAACTGCATCCCGGAAAGAAGGAAGGCATCCGGTGGCGACTCACAAGGGAAGGGTTACAGACAGCAGGGCCACGGCAGGTGTGGCGGAAACCCCATTCCTGCAAGCCCAGGGCCCCCCTGGACACCGGAGGCCAGTAGCTCTGCAGTTCCCAAGCCTGGATATGGAGCCCAGGCCTGGACACAGAGCCAGAGACCCTGGGCCTGGACACGCAGCTGCTGTGAGCCTGAAGGGAGCTCCCAGGGTGCGGAGGGCATTCGGCTACTTGCCAGAAGCTGGAGCCGCCAGTCCATCTCGAGGTGCCTCAGAAGAGAGACCTCGTGACCTGCTTCTGAGAAACTGGGGGCAGATCTGCACAGACCCACACAGGGGCTGTGAGAGGTGCCCACCCAAGGGCAGCGGGGCCGAGTTCACACGGGCTGGATGCATGCCTGCCGGGACAGCAGGTGGCCAGGAGGGTGCCACCAACACAAGCCCAGGGACCCAACCAGGTCCCTTGAGGGGGGATAGGCTGAGCTCAAGGGAACTGGGGGTGCAGGTCTCCATGCCCAACTCAGCCTCTCCCCCCTGTTGGGGCCTATAATGCCGCCACCTGTCTGAGGTCTGGCTTGTGAGCTTGAGGTCGAGAAGCATGGCCCGTCACATCTGGGCCCAGGGAGGGGCTCCGGGCCGAGCCCATGCAATCTGATTCATGGACACCCAGGCAGGACCCCAGCCTGGCTGCTCAGACACCCAGAGTGGGGAGGAGGTGGCCCCCGCAGGGTGGGGGCAATGGTCCTTCCTGACGTGCTCGGACCCTAGGGACCTAGGGGCATGTGCCAGCCAGGCCCTACTCAGCTCACCAAGTACAGACAGAACAAGGTGGCTTTTGCCACAGCCACCTCCCACCCCCACTCCTCCTGCCAAGATTGTGCCTGAGCCCAGTGTATTCAGCATGTTCCCCAACCCCTATGCCAAATGGGTACTAAATCCTGCCCCTCAGCTTCCCGACAGGATGAGTAGGGTGTTAGAAGAGGGGGGGTCTCTCCTGACAAACCTTGAGAGACCCTCCATGTAAAGAAGATAAAGGGGGGGGGCATTGCCCGGACAAACTCTGAAGACCACCCCCAAAAGGAAAACAAGGGGGGAGGAGAGTTCCCCCAACTAACCCTTTAGAGACAAGCCCCCATGGGACTTGAGGGGAAGGGATGCCCCTGACAACCACGGAGACCACCCCTCAGGGAAGGTGAGGTACTAGAGGTCCCTCCTGGGCTCTTCTCCAGGGCCAAGCAGCACTGCAGCCTCTCAGCTACCTCTCCCAGGCTCCAGAGTCCCAGGTGGTGGTGGTGACGAGCCTGCAGGGCCCCCCACCCTTGGTCACAGGTGCCCCACACCTTCACACGTGTGTTCACGGGCAGATGGCTTTGCTGTTAGCGCAACAAATCAGCACCGTCCCCGGCCCTCCGCCTATCACACAGCAGGCTGCAGAGGTGTGCAGACCCAGCCCTGGGCCAGTGAGGGCTGGCCCCCAGGAGGTAGCCTGGGGGGAAATGCCGGAAACAGCCCCAGGTCCCTGAGAGGAGACTGCCGGACAGCGCCAGCACAGGGGGCCAGACTCTGTGCTCCCAGAAGCACCGTCGTCCGGGCTGTTCCCAGCCTCAGAAGAGTCCTGTCTGGCTCCCTGGCCGTGTCCAGCCCTCCGCCAGCAGCGCCAAACTGGCCGCCCTAGGAGGAGTCGGCCATACACGGGGCTTTCAGCTCTCCCACATGCTCCCTCCAGGGTGACCCATCCCTGGCGCCTGCACCCTGCCCCTCCTGGCCCAGCGCCCAGGTAAGCGCCCCACTCACCGTGGTGGTCTTGATGCGCCCGCCGGGCTGCGTGCAGGTCCAGCCAGAGCGGTTGATGAGCAGGTCACAGCCCTCCCCCTCCAGGCACGGGAGCATGTCACACCACTGCTTCGTCTTGATGATGCGTGCTGCAGGCAGAGAGGACACGCACGGTCAGGGCTGCTCCCCTGGGCCAGCTGGGCCCAGGGCCAGCACCAGGCCGACTCGTGCCCGGTGGGGGGTGGGGATGAGCCTGCAGTCAGAGTGCCCAGTGTCCATGGGCACAGGTGCTGACCACAGCCAGTGTGGCCCAGCCTGCTGTCCCCCAGGTGGTCAGCACAGGGGCCAGGGAGACTCTGCTGTGGCAATCCCTCATTCACCTGAGTGGGAACTCACCCTGATCAAGAATGAGAGAGTTTCCCACGGGAGGGTGGACACCCTCACTGCCTGCCATACGGGGATGATGCCATTCACTACAGGCCATCCAGGATGGACGCCACCAACTGATGGCCACACACAGTGGATGCCACTCACTGTAAGGCCGTCTGGGGTTAATACCATTCATTGCTGGCCATCAAGGTGGACTCCAACTGACGGTCATCCAGGATGGCCACTGTTCATGTCCGGGTCTGGCCCTCCCCATCCCCATGCGTCCTGCTGCCCGTAGGCAGGGTCTCCAGTGTGTAGCAATGCTGCAGAGGGACTCGGTGAGTTCATGAGGTAGGGATAATGAGGGGCCAGATGCCAGGGGCCCAGGAAGGTGTTGAAGGGGTAGGCCCGGCCCATTGGGACCTTAAAGAAGCTTTGTGCTCCTAGGGGCAGGGTGTGCGGTCAGGAGAGGGTGAGAGGTCAGCCCACGCTTCACACAACAACACACACGCGCACATACACATGTGTGTACAACCACACACGCAGACATGGCCATACATGCTCCTGCACGCACATGCGTGCACACATGGAAGCATGGAGTGCACAGAGGTGCACACATCCCCCCACACAGCCACTCCCAGCACACTCACCCCAGGGCCTGGCATGCAGGACCACATGGTGGATGCTTCTGGCACATAGATGCCATGCACACACACACACACACAGGCGCGCACACGTACATACAACACGCCTGTCGAGCAGGCCGAGCACACTCCGCCTTTGTCCTCTGTGGGCTCCTCTGCTCGCCCAGCCCACTTCCTGCTGGGGGAGGGGGTGGCAGGCTCGGGGTCCCAGGGACAAAGGGGCCTTTCATGCTGCCGTGACAACTTTATTTCACCCTGGCATAGCCAGGGCGCGGCTTCGCCTCGGGGCTGCCTCCTGGGTGCCCAGCCTGCCCATGTCATAGCCAGGGGGCTCCTGGAGGGAAGGCAGCCAAGAGCAGGTGCCCACTGCCTGCCAGGACCCCTGGCCTGGTGGACAGGGAACAGAGGATAGAAGCGGACCGGGGGGCCAGGCCAATTGGGGCTGCAGGGCTGAGGGGCCCTTAGGATCCCCACCCTCTGTTACCTTCCTGTCTCCTGCACCCAGGTCACCCGAGTCACGTGTGTGCATGCTATTTCATTCAGGAGTGTGAAAACATGGTCCCTGCGCACGTATGTATATCTTCACATGCACTCATGCACACACAGTCACAGGTGTGTGCAGACATGCAGGCCTCCCATGCCCACACGTGCAGACACAGGTTCACACAGGTGTGCACTCACACACACAGACACACACTCACACAGGCGGGTGCACACTGCCCCTGGGCACATGCCCACACGTCCATACGTGCAGTCCTGTGTACACACACACACACACACTCACTCCCTGTTCGCCCTGGAGGCTGCGGGTGGCATGTATCTGCTGGATCCCTGCACTGCTCCCTGTGAGACCCCCTGAGCAGCTGCCTGAGATCTGCCAGGTGACGTGGAGGAGCCGCCCAGTCTAGTGCTCCCAGGCCCACCTCCTCCTGTCCTCACGCTCCTCACAGCCCCTGGGCCCAAGGACCTGGAATACAGGAGCTGCTCAGCCTAGCTGGTGGAAATGACAGGGATGGGCACTAAGGTGGGAGGGCAGGGAGCGAGGGCCCTCCGAGTGTGTGCTCAGAAAGGCAGTGGAGTGGGGGAGGGAGGCCAACCCAGAGGCCTCTGCCACCCTCCCCAGCACTCCAGGGGCAACACGGGGTGGACAGAGCCAGTTCCAAACCCCCACGCCATCCCCAAGAGCTGCCTGCTGGCCCGGTGCTCCTACAGCCTCAGGCAAGCAATGCTCACTTAGCCCCTGCTCAGAAAAGCGGGTTGCCCCATGGGCGGGCTGGAGGGTTCATAGCAGAGGGGACCCTGGGTGGGCAACAAGAGCTGCGATGAAGTGGTCAGGTGTGGCCGTGAACTTGAACTGAGTGAGGCTGGGTGCCTGAATGGTTGCTGACTGTGTGTCCATGGGAGAGGAGAGCTGACCTCCCAGAGGCCTGAGTGGTCGCCCACCGCGTGCCCATAAGAGTTGGGGGGAGAGCTGACCTCCTTGTGGCCACAGCTGTGAGCTTGATGGGTGGGGCTGCGGTGCGGGGCAGGGACCGGCCTGTCGCCCGAGCGCTAGTGTTTCTCTGGACTTTCCCAGGAGCAGGGATGTTCCCACTCTGTCCACTGAGCGACCACCCCCACGGCCACATTCATCCTGCCCATTGGAGGTAGGGTTTGTGGTACTCAAATGACAGCTTCCAAGGAAGGGCAGGGCGGGCAGCTGAGGGTTTGACCCCGAGCGTCTCTGTGAGGCACTCGGGGGAAAGGCCTGGTGGTCAGCTCCGTCGGCTTTTCTGAGTCCCCGCGGCTGTGAGCGTGGCTGATGGGGGCACCTGGGACTAGCACCCCTATTATTAAGAGTGCAACCTGCAACTGGGGCTGCCCTCAGAGGGGGCTCCCGCCAAGCCCCCAGGCCCATTCCCTGACTCCCTGCCCTGCTGGCAGCTGGGAGGGAAGGAACCCATCATCTCTGGGGGGCCCACAGCTGGGCTCAGCTGGGCTCACCTGGAGGCTGAAGGAGCACCCAGGCCCACAGACAGCTCTCGGCGACAGACTGGGGACCACACGGAGGGCGCCCTTCCACCCCGTGTGCCCAGAGCCGGGCTGAGAGCCCCCAGGAAAACCACCAACCCCCCTCAGAGGCTGCACCTGAAGGAGGCGATGGGGAGGCAGGGCTAGGGAGAAACCCCCAGGAGGAGCGGAGTTCTGGTGCTCAGGTGTGTCCGGGGCTGGGGGTAGGGGTGACACACAGTTGTGGGAGGGAGGCTGCTCAGAGTGGATGTGTGTATTTGTGTGTCTGAGCAGGGCTGGCCACTGTGGGGTGGGCAGGGGTAGGGGGTGAAGGTAGCATTCGTGGGAGAAAGGCCATGTACCCCCAGACTTCTGTGAGGTGGGGGCGGGGGGAACTCATGCTGGGGCATGGCTGCCTTTGGTTCCCGTTTAAAAACCCTTTAAAATCGGGCTTGTTACCCAGCAAACCCTGGCGGGAGGAGAAACTTCAAAGGCAGGCGAGGAAAACCAACAACCATGTGTCACTCCCATGCACACAGTAGCCATGATGTGGGCAGCAGAGCCCAGTCCCTGGGGACGGACATCATGCTTCGTAGCATGCAGGGGCGGCGGCATGACAATGGTTCAGGCGGAGGACCTGCTGTGAGGACGGCGCAGGGTTGGGCGGTATTGGTGCCGGGGTACACGGTGCTGCTACAGGTGGGGACCGACTCAGCCTCACCTCGCAACAAGGCCTATCTCCACGGAGTGGATGGGACCCGCAGGGGGCCGTGGGTGAGGATGACCACTCAGAAAGGCGATGGGGAGAGGGAGGGGGGCAGGGCTCAAACGGTGCCACCACGTGTGTCCCTGAATCGCGCCAGTGGGTGCTGCCCAGCTGGTGTGTGTGTGTGTGTCCGGTTTGTTCTCCACAACGAGGACAAAATAAATAAAATACATATTTGCTATGAAAGAGGAGAGTGGGGTCCCCAGCCCCGTGTAGGTACCAGCACCTGGCATCCCTCTCTGGGCTGCAGCCTGCTGCCCAGTCCCAGCAGGCACCTTGGATCTACGGACTCTCCAGGTGCTCAATTAGCGGAGATGGAATAAAAAGTCAAGCCCAGCACCATGCGCCCAGTTCACTTACACTCCAGCGAGCTAATGGTCTTCTGGACACAGTGCCCCACTAATCGCCCACACCTCGGCCGCACGGGTCGTCACAGTGGCCACTCCACTGAGGAGGCCCGAGGCATCTCTGCTCAGAAGCACGCAGGCCGGGTGTTGGATGTGTCACGTGGACTTGCTGCGGTGCGTGCGCCTGGGCCTGAGCTGGTGCGACCCACAGGTCCACCCCGGGAGAGGGCCAGTTCCAAGACTGATTGGTTGTTCTGGAAACTCATGGTGCTTTCAGGGTTCTTCTCCAGCACCGTCACCCCAAGGCATGGATTCTTGCTCAGGGGCTCTTAGTCAGAGCCTCAAGCACCTGCAGGTGGGGTGCTGGGTAGGGCACAGGGCTCCGGAGGGTGGTCTGAGATCTTGACATCCCCTTTTGTTTTCTGATCCTAGATCGGGGCCCACCCTAGCAGAACTGTGGCTGTTCTGGTCCTCAGTATTCTCATCCATAAGGAGGCTGGACCTTCCACCTGGAAGGAGGGCTGGGAGGGGATGCCTAAGGTCACCTGTCAGGTAGTGGGGGTGACATGGGGTAGTCAGGGCATCAGGAGAGTCAGTGCTGCCGTTTTCTCCACTTGCTGCTGCTCAGTGTCCGGGAAAGCTTTGAAAGCGTTGGTCCAGGAGAGGCCGGCGGCAGCCTGCTCACACCGCACAGGTGCTGCGGTCAGCCCAGCATGCTCACGGTGCTCCCGCTGGACACACCTGCTCTAAGCATCCCCGGACGAGGCCACCTCCCTGAAACTGAGAAGCTGGGAGGGGTTGCTCCTGCTGGGTCTGACCGCCAGGCCCATGTCCTGGGCTTGCCCGGCCTCCCTGAGGCTCCCCTGGTCCTGGTCCTGGTCTTGACCATCCCAAAGACCCTGGTGACAGGTGTTGTTTCTCTGTTCTCCAGGCTGTTCGTGCGGATTACCACAAGGGGGTACTTTGCTGAACAGAGCTGTGTTTTTTCCCAGCTCAGGAGGCTAGCGGTCTGAGCTCCCAGAGCTGGCTCCGGG